CTCCAGTGCACATAGCCGACAAACACCGCGTTTTGGAGGGCTTCTTCTTTCTTCTCCTGCTATCGGTTCAATCTTCCGACCATAATTTACTTTGAGAAAAGCACTTACATCTTGTGGCAAATGTTTGACATTTGATCTGAAGATGAGATGCTCTTTCATCATGGTCAATGCCAAATTTTTCAGGAAAATTCTTCGATGCTTTGGAGCCTTTCCTGGACAGGCAAATTATGCCCCCAATATTCATTAGAGTGTAGAAAACTACACAAGGCCATCTCTTGGTGATTCTAGAGACAGAGTAAGCGGCACACATTTTGTCGACTGTATCCACTCCGCCTTTGGTGTCGTTGTAGTCCAGTATAACCTGAGGCTTTCTGGTGTCAGGATCCATTTCGTCGTCGTCATGTAATGTTGAGAGTAATATTACAGATTTATTTTTCCGAGGTACATAGGAAAGCATCATTTTTTCTTTTTGAAAACCAAAAAGAGTGGATCCAACAGCTCTGTTTTTCTCCGGCAAAAATTCCCTTGGGATTTCGGCTTTGTTCTTTTTCATTGTGCCCAAAACTGTAATTTTTTTCTCGAGCAAATAATCAGCGAGTGGTACACTTGTGTACCAATTATCGATGGTCAAATTCCGGTTTGAGTTTTCTATATGAGTGACTAGACGCTTTACAATATCATTTGGAGTATTAGAAGTTGCAAATGGTCCATCGGATTGTTTTCCACAGTATATTTCCAGATTGGATGTATAAAAAGTTTTGGCATCACATAACGCAAACATTTTCACCCCGTATTTTGCTGGTTTGCTGGGAATATATTGTATGAAGCTACAACGACCTCTGAAAGGATGCAGCATCTCATCGATTGTAGTATATTCGCCCAAATTGAATGATGACTTGCAGTTGTTGACGAAGGCTTGGAAAAAATCACGTATCGCTGCCAGTTTGTCAACTTTCCTCCTTTCAACTCGGGTATTCTTGTCATCAAATCTGAGGCACCGGGTAAGGAATAGAAATCTCTTGTAACTCATGGCAGCTCTTGCTATTTCAATCCCGGTACCGTCACTGGCAAAAATCTCTTTTACATTTGCGTGGTGAGATTTTTTTATACCAATCAAATATAGCAGACCCAAGTATGCCATAAATTCCTGCCTGTCAATGTTTCTACAGTCCCGATCTCTAGAATATTGATGGGAAACTCTCAGCTGATCGATATACAAATTTGTGTACCTTATGACATCGTCAATCATCGACATGTCGATGATTTGGAAGAACGCATCTAGTTCATTCTCAATACCAAGAGCTTTGCGAGTCAAACCAGTGGGTACCTTGACCACGTTTATCCCCTTGGTTTTTCTAGAAACACGGTATGTTGTCTTTCGCCATTGTATAGATTTGTTTTTCCCAATGAAAAATTCTTCCATTGTTTCCTCTTCTCTTTCAGATTCGTCTGAAGTATTTTCTTGTTCGGTAGTATTTCCTTCAGCTTGTTGCTCGATTTCTTCATCCGAAAACTCGCTGTCACTCGAGGGAAAGTAAGTCTCATCATCTTGCTCAGGCTCATCAAATAAATTTTGAGCCATTTCTTCCAGCTCTTTTTGCGTAAGCGGTCTACGAGCCATGATGAAACACGTCTGAAACAATAAAAAAACATATTTAGTAATAAAAGAAGCGATATAAATGAGAAAAAAAATAGAAAAAAGTAGTTTTTGTTTATACTTACACCATAGGGCGCGTGTCGTAAAGTTTACGCTCAACGGAAATTTCCAAATAACTCCAAATTGCGAAAACTCCTAAGCACATCCGATACGTCTATCGTTTGGTGAGACACTAATCCTCGAATAGCTCGAAGCACGATGCGCTCGAAAAATGATCAAAGGTGGGGGAAGCGATAGAGTGCGCTTGTCGTAAATTTTACGACAGCGCGCCCGCTGGAAGGTTAAATTATTATAATTTGTAAACAATTAAAATAGTTTTAGTGGATTTTTATCTATTTTCGTTTATTCCATGCGGTCTTTTCATTGTGTTTTCATTTTGAAGTGTATATGGTATTTTGGGTGTACTCGTTTGATTGGTTAAAACTGGTTGGAATTCAGTTAAGTATAAAAAACACAGGATCGTTTTCCTGCTGGCCAAGGTTTCTAAAACGATTTCTTCTTGAAGAACACTCTGGCCAGGCAAGTCCTCTATTTTTTTTAAATAATTTTGTGCTGTGAATTTCTGGATCCTCCCTCATAAATATTTCAATATTCAAATTGTCATATATTTACTAAGTTTTACCTGATAAATCATATCTTATTTGTTTTTGAAATATAAATATTATATTTTAAGGTTTTTTATCTAATTGTTGGCTTCCGTTTTGTGTGAATTATTTATTGGTTAGTACCACATTTTTGTTAAGAAGTAAGTCAAGAATTTTTGGGCTTTAAATAGGTACTGCTGCTCTGGCTTTCAGAAACAATTTTTAGTGTGGGAAAATTGGACCATTTGCTCTAAATAGAGTCGCAGAAAACCATAGTTGTGAGTCCATCCCCATTAATTCTTCATTGAATCCAGACAGAGGCCTGAACAGCCATTTTCTGCTTGACTCCTTAAATTATTATCTTAATAAAGGGTGTATTTTTTTTATAGAAATCCAGACAGGTCAAAAATTCAGTCTAAAACATCTCAAGAATTTTGACACATTCTGGATTTGATTAATTTCAACCCTAGGTTTATCTAGTATCTGTGGTAGCGAACTTAATTCGAGGGGAGAATTTTGTCTATTTGGGCAGGAATCCAGACATTTGATTTCTTAATTTTTATTCACCTTATTTTTGCTCATATTTTTGCTTGTATTTTTGCCAGCCAGAGCTGTTTTTCAAGGAAGCAGCATTTTGCTCAATTGTACCGAGCATTCTAATTTAATCTTGTTATTACCTTTTTTTTATTCTCTTACCATTAATCTCGATTATTTAATTTTTTTTTTTTTTTATATTAAAATATACTGGGTGAATCCGAAAGTGAGGTTTTTTTTTTAACGGGATATATATCTCACCAAAATAAGTTGTTTGGCAAAAAATTGTTTATACAAAAAATTTAAGATAACGGAGTTACAGGTATTTCAAGGTCTTAAGAAGACTCCAGGGTCCTTATTCTCAAAACATGGGAGCAGCATTCTTATGAGAACGAAGGTCCTATCTTCGCCGCCTTATTTGCCCATACTCATGTTTGCATAACACTGACAAAGACCAGATCAATCGTTCTCATCAGAACGCTGTTCCCCAGTTTCGAGAATAGGCATCCAATTATAAAACATTTTGCTTACATTTTCTCGGAAAAAAGCAGTTATTTATCCAGCATAATGAGTTTTTTTCCATAATAGATAATCTACAGTTGCATTATTCCATCAGAAAAATCAATCAAAAACTCCTTTTTCCATTTTCAACTTAATTATTTTTATATCTTCAAATACCTGTACCTCCGTTATCTTAAGTTTTTTATGTAAAAAAATTTTTGCCAAACAACTTATTTTAGCGAGATATATACCCTGTTAAAAAAAAAGCCTCACTTTCAGATTCACCCTGTATATATATATTTTTTTTCAACTTGCAATAGTTTGCCATACCTGATTCTGTTGGAAGGGAGGGTCTGTACAACAATCATTTTATACTAAATTTCAACTTCAATTTCTTTTGCAAGACACTCACTTTTTGACAGAAGTCAGTGATTTAATATTCCAAATATTGGTGAACCTGATACTGCCTTATTCTTTTCTGGGTACCTACTCTACCTAAAGATCACTGTTTGGAGTCTGGATCAGCTGGAGTGACGTCACCCCAGCAATCTACCCTCTTCCTGGAAACAGGAAACAACACCAAAAGCTCCAGTTCACGAAAGTGAAACCACAACACCCATTGAAGAGCTCCGGATTGGAAAGCTACATACTGTATCAGATTCACCAGAAAAACCAAGCTATATTGTTAACACTATTTACGCAACCAATATTGTACACTAAATGAAATTATTGTTTGTTGGATTTTGAGTGGTTTCATTTGCACACAAAGGGGCTACACGTTATCCTAATTTTCCTTTGAATTCACGATCCTAGGTTATCTTTTCTGAAAGTATTCAAATTCAATATTATTTGTAACAACATATGTAAGAAGGTAGTGAGGGACAACGAACCATAGGCGTATCTAGGGGGGGGGGGGTGCTGCCGGGCTGCAGCCCCCCCCCCCCCCCCCAAGGCAAGTGTCTAAACTATTATTTTTTTCAAGAGTACATTTTATATTATAATCTCTTTAAACGTACGGTAATATTTCCGCTTCTCTTTCCCCTAACGAATTGACAAATTAACAAAACATAATTGGACTATATTAATATATAAATGCTAAATACCTAGAGGGAATACTCCTTACTCCTTGAATCGTTATGACTCGTTTGCGGTAGATTACACACAGAGGTGACAGAGCGCTTTCTAGTGACTTTTAAGTTACTCTGGAGTAACTCCAGAGTGCTTCACAATTACTTTGCGCCGTTCTAGGGCTGCCTTCTAATATTCGCCCAAGCGGCATCCATCAGCGTATTTTTTGTCTTTATTCAATAACAACTGTATGATTTTCACTGTATTCCTTTTATAGATCGAGTTACACCAAACCAGCTCCACGGAGTCACTCCGAAACACACAATTCAGATTTTATCATTATTTTTCAATATTAACATTACCTGAAAGGGCTTCTTGCACCCCCCGCAACTTTCGTGCATCAGGGGAAAGGGGGATGCACTATGAGCGACTCCAGTGCTTAACGCACTTTTAAAAGGAACGTTCAAACTCTTGACATTGAGAAGCTCTAAGTAACTCAATACAGTAAATGAGGCAACGATGTCCGAGAGGTAGGTATTTTCCCCGTATTTAACCTGTTTCTTTTTCGCGCTGAACTAAGGATTTAGAAGGAGAAAGCGAGTGTGTAATGAAAGTTTGTGGTTTTGTAGTAATTACTGATTTTTAATTGTTTTAAGGAAAATTGAGGATTTATTTAAAGGTAAGTTTATGAAAATTATTTAAAATAGAGTGTCCATATATTTTTTCAGATAATGGAAAAAAGAAAGCAGTCATCCCTCTTGAGTTTTTTCGAGAGTAAAAAAAAAAAAAAAACCGGAGAGGAAGAAACTTTCCATTCCTCAGAACAAGCAAGTGGCGAAAGCAGTGGTTGTGGAATTAACAAAATTCCCAATGACTCCAATGAGGATTTAGAAATAAGCAGTCTTACTGAGAATGAGGACATCGAAGACGGTTCGTGCCATAATATTAATAAAAATAAAGAAGAACGATTGAATTATCAATCCAAACCTAATGATATAAGTTTCTTCAAAAAATCTTCCAACCATCATAACGAAACTTGGACGTTTTACATCTTATTCGCAATATTTGGAATCCGCCACGAACTTACGTATTTCCTTCCACTTCTACATCTAAAGAAAAATTTTCCAGAAAATTCCTATTTTGTTGGTTAGAGAAATATCCATGGTTAGCTTATTCTGCAAAAGAAAATGCCGCCTACTGCAAATATTGCGTTTTCGTTTCTATGGAGTGTGTTGGCAGCAGATGCTCGCAAACTATAGGTTTCTTGGTGGAAGAAGGATATAGAAAATGGAAGCATGCCCTTGAGTATTTTAATAATCATAATTGTTTAGAATATCATGTAAATTCAATGTTGCACTTCAATAATTTAAGAAAAATAAGTGAAGGAAAATTAAAATCAATTGATAAAACACTTGACGAAAATAAAAATAAGGAAATTTTAGAAAACAGAGCTAGACTTAAGCCTATAATAAAAAAATAATTTTAGGTGGGCGACAAGGTTGGGCTTTGAGGGTTCATAAAGATTATGGCTTAATAGAACTAGACAAAATTTCAACAGAAAATGGGGGAAATTTTAGGGCACTCTTGAAACATCGGGTTGAAGCAGGAGACAAAGATTCGAAAATGCACCTCCAAAATGCTGAAAAAAATGCTTTATATACTAGTCCTATCATACAAAATGAAATATTAGGTATTTGTGGGTCATTAATCCAGTCGAGTCTCATAAAGCGAATTAAAGCATCGAAATACTTTTCCCTTCTGATAGATGAAACTACAGACATTTCACACATCGAGCAAATGTCTTTTTGTATCAGATATGTGGATGAGACTCAAATGAAGATATGTGAAATTTTTTTATGTTTTGTACCTCTTTTATCTACCACAGGAGAAAGTATATCAAATCAAATTCTTTCAACCTTATTAGATCTAGGCTACCTTAGGGGGCAGGGTTATGATAGAGCAGCCGCCATGAGCGGCCAGCTAAAGGGAACACAAGCTTACATTTCAAACAAGCAACCCAAAGCTATTTACGTGCACTGTATTTCTCACTCTCTAAATCTAGCAATATCCGATTCTTGTAAAGTTCAAGATATAAGGAATTGCTTTGGCATTGTTGAAAGCACATGTTTTCCTAAACACGCCCAAAAGACAGCACGTATTGTCCAAAAACATAGACATATTTTGCAGTGACTCAAAAATAAATAAATTAAAACAATTATGTCCTACTAGGTGGGTATAGCGTCACGACGCTATATTAGTTTTCGTTGAACTTTTTGAGGCAATATGTCAGACGTTAGATGAAATATCCTGTTGGCAAGACAGGGACTCATCTTCTGGTACTCAATTACTTTTAAATTCAATTAAAACTGTAAATTTTTTATTTTCAATAAAATCAAGTGAATTATTGTTCGGGCACAGTATTACCCTTAGCAAATATTTACAAACTGGAAATTTAGATTTATCGGTAGCAATTCGGCAGGCAATACACCTCGAAGAGGAGTTAGTAAATTGTAGGTCTAATGCAGATTCAGAGTTTAGCAAGATTTTTTCCAAGGTGTCACAGCTATGTGAAAAGCTTGATCTTGTTGTAACCATTCCAAGAAAAAACGCACGTCAGACGCATCGCGCCAATCTTGAAGTCAATGATCCGGAAACCTCTATTATCGCGCTTCTATTTTTATTCCATTTTTAGATGGTTTCATTGCCGAAATTAAATCTAGGTTCATAAAACATAAAAGTTTTTTAACATCTTTTTCATGACTTGTAACGAATTTTGATAGCAATGAATCTGATGAAAATTTTAAAAACCTTGTTAAGTTTTACGAATCTGACTTAATCGAAAACGGGAGTATCATAAATCAGGTACAGTTGAAAGGTGAATTTAAAATGTGGAAAAGGACATGAGGGAGTTTGTTCAGAAGTTTATTGGTTCATCTCTGTCAGCCATAGATATGTTAGTTAATTGCAGTAGAGAGTTATTCCCAAATATCTATATTTTATTGAAAATATTTTGCGTTATTCCAGTTTCGACGGCTACTCCAGAAAGGAGTTATTCTACACTTAGACGTCTAAAAATCTATTTGCGCAACAGTACTAGGGAAAATAGATTAACCTCGTTATGTTTATTGAATATATATTATGGGATTGAAATAGACATAGAAGAGGTCCTGAATAAGATGAGCCAAAAAGCTCGCCGTTTAAACATTTGTTTATGATTTGTTTTTTTAATTATTCATTCACTTATGTTTGCATAATTATTTTGCGTTAAATTTTATGTGAATTCCTAATTTTTTTTTTGTAAAAAATAGAAATAAAGTTTATTTCACCAGATAATAAAGTTTTTCTATTACTACAGTTTGACTCACCTAACGCAGCAAGGGAAACAGTGCTTCATCTTAATCACCTAAATCACCTAAATCACCTTAAATTTCCGCCAAAATTCCGTCCTCAGAAGAGAAGGACGTCCGTGAACTAGATTTCTCCATCTTACCAAAAAAAAAGCGAATAAGTTTAGGTCATCGTGTCAAAGTCGCGGACCGATACGCTCCGCAAAAAAGAATAGCTGCGTAATGTTTGGGTAAGTATGTCACAGGTGAATTCCTGCCAAAATTGGGCGTGGCTCCACATATTTTTTTTTTCACCTGTGCTTCTTTGTTTGGTCAGCACTTTTTGTTAACACAGCCCCCCCCCCCCAAACCAAAATCCTGGATACGCCAATGCAACGAACAAGCCCTTTGCTGTGATGCATGTGAAAAATGGAATCACAGACCTTGCCTTAACATGACGAAAACCACGTTTTTACTATGAAAAAAATGCAGATGCTGAATGGAGATGCGAGAAGTGTAAGAACAAAAAGCAAAATAACAAGAAGGATCATTACACAATAGGGGATATCATGGCAAAACTAAATGAGATGGATGGTAAATATAATATCTTATTTGAGAAGTATGAAGAACAAATAAAAATAAATGAGGAGCTGAGAGAGGAGATTCAGGATATCAAGAAGAAACTTAATAATAACGAACAAGTGTTAAATAATAATTTGTTAATTCAAGGAATACCATATAAGGAAGATGGAAACTTAGATGAAATTATCGACAAATTAGAATCCACATTAAATATCCCGAAGATTCCAGATAGTATAAATAAAATATATAGGTTGGGACTTCGCAGGGAAAACAAAACATCACCAATTAGAATAAATTTCAGAACTGGATAAGATAAGAAAAAATGGATGGTAGCAAGAAAAACAAAAACACTTACAACCATATAGGAGGATTTGCGGGTGAACGGGAAATGATATATATAAACTATGATTTAACTAAATACAATGTGGAACTTTTTAAAAGGGCCAAACAATATAAACAAGAAAAAAACTTCAAATGCATATGGATAAATAAGGGAAAAATTCTTCTGCGTAAGGATGATAATAGTAAGGTGGAATTGGTAGAAAGCCAGAAGGATATAAAAAACTAATTAAATCTCAAAATACTCTTAGCATAGTTTATTATAATATTCAAAGTATACGGAATAAGTTTGAAGAGTTTCAAGCCAACATGAAAATTACATCGACTGACATATTTGTTCTTGTGGAAACATGGCTTTATCCCAACGAAACACAATTTTATAACGTCGATGGATACCAGGCCATACATTCATGCAGAGAATCCAAAGGCGGTGGAGAATAACGTGCAATTTAATAAAATAGACTGTAGTGATCCAAGTGAACCGTATAACTGGATTTGTATACAAATAGACAAACTTAAACTAAGTGCATTTTATAGACCTCCGAACTATCCATGTATCGACTTCTTACATAAGCTTGAATATGTGATAACTAGTCATAAGGTAAACCATATCATAGTGGGGAATATTAATATTAATCTCTTAGATCAGGAATCAACTATTACCAAAGACTATAAAAATATGATAGCATTAAATAATTATTGTATTGTCAACAAGATTAATATCGCAAATGCGACCCGTATTTCGCACACTGGCACTATAATTGACCATATAATTTGTACTACCAATAAAAAAAATTAATGCTTTATCAGCATCAACATTTAGCTAAAAAACTGTTATTAATCAAATTTTTATAGTCACCAAATCGACATGTTTCACAGTTGCGCAGTATGTTAGCTACCTAATTTCGCAATTTTCGTGAGAAAAAAGTTGGGCGTCTCGGTGAAATGAAGCCTTATTGAAAAAACTAGCTTGTTATTAATGATTTGGAAAAAAGGGCCTCAGCCCCCGGACTATATGGTATTGGGGATGCCGTGAGCAACATGTTTCACTCTGGCCACAACCTTGTATATTATGACAGTGAAGGTGGTGTCAGCTGAGAAATATTGGAATCTAATATTTAGAAGCAGAGTAACTATAAATTCAACGAATAAACAACAAAATCATTTCGAATCAAAATTTGTTAAATATCCAGTAAAATAGCTTAAATTTATTAACAAAAACATTTAGACATATACAATACTTAAAGAATTGAATATAAATGTTGGTTTCATCATGGAATCAGTCACGAGGAGGAAAATAAAATAAAGATAATGAAATAGGGTTTCTTATCTTGTGCAGGGAATTCCGAAGGTCTTGGCAGTCAATTCTTGAAATAAATCCGAATACGGATTTGGAGTATTCGCGAAAAATTCGACTTTTTTCGTACGAAGTGACATCGAATAAGTTCAGCTAGGCGGATTCCATTTTTCGTATGCAATTTTCTATTATTCGAACCTTATTTTTGCAGATTTGAAGTTTTTTTTTTTTTTTTCTCTTCTTTGTGGGTTTACCTTTGAGTGTTTACTTTCAAGATTTTCCATTTTTGTGTGGTTTTGTGGCTTTAAAGTGTATTTACCATTTACCCATGGCTAATTTAGAAGATCCAGCCGTTTTGCAAGCAATGAGCAATTTGTAGATATTTTGTTAATTCTCTTATTAAATTTTTCATATTGTTAAAAGTCACTTGCCACATAAATTTTAAATTTTCAATAAATAGTTTTTCTGTGAAAAAATATAGAAATTCAAAATAACTCTCTTCGCGCCAAAACGCACTCGTAAATCAATGACGTCACGGTACTCCCTCTCTCTCCTTCTGATTTTCAGTTGTGGTTTATGTCATTGGTTTATGCGACTATGTCGATCATTGTCGGGTATCTTTGTCTAGTGAATAGAAAATGACAATGACCGACATAGAATGGTAAATCCATCGGTAGAATTCGATGTAAACACAAGCGTCTGACGGCTCACGTATCACGTTAACATAACCACGCTTTTGTTTGTAACCGTTCCATGACGTCATAACTAATTTAAGAGCGTTTTCGCGCCTTTTGTTATATTTGATATTTGAATAATTAATTCTTTATTAGTGGTTCAGTATAAAGAGGATTCGAATATGGAAATATACTTCTAGAGTATTTTGCTTTACTTTAAATACATTTTGCATCGAAATAAAATTTTATGCAAGTTCCTCATTGGAGCATTGGAAAATCCGGAAATTGATGTCAATTTTGGTCGAATGGTTTTCAGCATAGGAATGTGTTTCAAGAGCTCAATGATCATCAATTTATGAAAATATATCGGTTATCAAAACCTGTGGCCACAGAGTTGGTTGATGTGTTGCAGCCATACTTGACACCTCCAACAAGATTGTCGGCCTTAAACATGGAAACAAAGGTAACTTCTGTCTGAATCTGCATGATAGTAAAATATTAACATTTTTTTTTAATTTTATTTGCCTAGGTTCCTACAGCATTACGGTTTTTTTGCGGCAGCTTCGTACCAAACAGATGTCGGATATAGTGTCATGCATGGGATTTCTCAACCATCAGTCAGTCGTGCTATCGATGAAGTTACCAACGCTCTTAACACACCTGTAATTCTAAATTCCTGTGTGAGACTTCCAGCAAATTCTCACCAATTGCAACAAACAAGAGAAGGATAAGCCAATAATTTCACAAAAATTATTTATGTAGGCACCATATAAATAATTGAGTTTTTCATTCAGATTTTTTGAAAAAATTCAACTTTCCTGGTGTGATGAGCTGCATCAATTGCACTCATATAGCAATTTTTCCCCCGAACGTGACATAGAGCACATATTTGTCAATGGAGAGGGGTACCACTAGATAAACACACAAAAGATAAAAACCTTAGTTTATATACTTAAAAAATTAAAGAGGTAG